GTGTCTACTGATGTGGGTAAATTTGAATGATGGTTGTTGACGTTATACAATCTGTTTTAACATTTTTAAGTAATCAAACAATTTAAAGTTATTTTTATTATTATGAAAATTGGTCCCATTTATGTGATCGTTTAAATTAAATTCATAGTACACCAATGAGTTTAGTTTGTTTAAATATGAAAATATTAAATTTCTAATATAAACATTCCTATACAAAAAAAAAAAAAAAATAAGATTAGTTTGATATTTGTTTTAGATATTATAAATTGTTAATTTGTGAATAAAAATTACCTCCAAACATTGAAAAATTTGGTGTCATTCCCCATTTATAAATAAAATAATAATATAATTATATATTTTTAATTAAAAAATAAAAAAAAATAATTGTGATTTCCAAAAAAAAAAAAGTGAAAAAAAAATAGAAAAAAAAAATTATTTAATAATTTGGGAAAATATGATTATTTTTAAATTAATTATAAATTATGGTTTTTAAAATTATTAAAATTATTTTTTATTTTAACATACCATCATAAAAGAGTTAATTGACTCTTTTTTATATCTGTTTTCAATCAAAAAGAAAATTAAAAGAAATTTTCTTTTTTTTTTTATTTTTTTTTTTTTTAAATTTAATTAAATTTTTATTTTTTAAAATTTTTATTTTTTTTTCGTAATTTAAATTAATGTTTTTTAAGACCCCACCTATTAATTAATAATATAATTTATAATATATAATAATAACATATTATAAAAAACAATAAAAAAAAAATTAAAAAATAAAAAAACATTTTTTATAAGTGGGGCATTGTTACAACACAAATAATTTTTTTTTTTTTTTTTTTTTAATTTAATAATTATACAAATAATTTATAATAATTTATAATAATAATAATAATAATATAATTATAAAAAAAAAAAAAAAAATGGGGATGACATTAAAATTATCAATTCAAAATTTTGATGATTTTAAAAGTGTTGATGACAATTTGTTTAAACAATATTATTGGGTATCTAAAAACGATTTCTTCAAATTATACAGCCTCATTGCACCACCAGATCAAGTAAACAATGAATTATTTTTAAAATTGTTGCTATTTTTCCTTTATATCAAAAAGTACCCAACCATGCGTTCACTTTCAATAGAATGCAACATTGATCAATACACAGCAAAACGATACTTGGATGAAATTATTGGTTTGTTATCATTTCATTTTTTATTAAATACAACAATTGTAAATATATAATTATAAATATTTTTTTTAAAATTTTTTTTTAAAAATATATTAAGCTAAAATTTTTTAATATAGAGCCAATTAAATAGAATTAGCAGTGAGCCAATTAGTATTAAATCATATAATAATCCAATTAGTAATAAAAAATATAGAGTAAATGGTTTTGTTTCAGCAACTTTTTTTCCAATATCAACTTATTCGACATGCGGCGATCAAATTAAATATTATTCACAGAAACACCAAACAAATGGGATTAAAGTATTATCAATAGTAAATATTAATAATGGCGGGGTTAGTTTTGTTTCCAAAAGTATGTAGTTAATTATTTTTTAAAATCGCAAAAAAAAACAATATATTAACATTATCATAATTTTAAATAGATTCTTACTTTGGATCAACAAGAGATTTTAATATCGCATTAGAATCAGGTGTATGTGATGTTTTTCAATTAGAAGAAGATGAACGAATATTGGGTGATTTTGGGTTTTCGAACAGACCAGATAAATTTATATGTTCGAATATTGTTGGTAGTGAGGATAATCTAAATAATGGAATGGGCGCATATCATATAGAGACACCAATAGACAAGGCAAAAAAATCATTGGACATTTTAAATGAAGGATACAGGGGTGATACAAAAGAATTTGAAAAAATAATTTATATAATTTTCAATCTTTTAAATTTATTTTTAAAAGATGAATCAATTTTAAAAGCAAAAGAGGTTTTATTAAAAAATGGTACATCAAGTGAATTGTTAGAATATGGCGGAAAACCAATTTCATTTGACAGTAGAATGTTTTTAAGAACCCCTCTAGGTAAAAATGTAGTAACACTTCCAGATAATCAAGTACCAACTGTTATACAATCAGAAAATTCCTCATCATTGTCAACAAGAGTAACCTTTTCTTCTCTTCCAAAATCAATTATAGCGATTACACCAAAAGAATCTGAAATAACAAAACCACTTGTAGACCCAACAACCACTTCCACCATTTCCACCACCACTACTACATCCACCACCTCAAATACAGTCATAATAACAACCACTACAATTGATAAAAATCCTGGTGGTTTCTTTAGAGGGCCAGAAACCTCTTCATCGATACCAACTGTAGCGTCTATAAAGGGAATTAATGTCAATTCAGTACCAAAGGTAGCAAAAACAAGCAATTCAATTGATAGGAATGTTCCAAATAGTTTTTTTAGAAGAATAGACCCAACTCCCTCATTCAGAGTCAACTTACCTGTTAATGTTGCGGCTCCCTCAAATCTATCTGACCATAGAAAGTTTTTAAGAAGTGCTTATCGTGGTTAATATCTTTAAATTGGAGTGGATATATATATAATATAACTGCCCCCCTTGTACATAGTAATAAAAGCAATATTTTTTTTTATAAATCATTTAAACTCTGTTTTTTATTATTAAAAATATTACCACATAAAATTTTAAACAGTGGGTTTAAAATCTAAATTTCATAAAAATTTTTATTTGAACATTTTTAATTATTTACTTTTAATTTTAGATTTCCAAATGTTATATATCTAATTTTATAATATACTTAAATTCAAGAAACAAATAATAATCATACCAATTTGAAAAAAAAAAAATTCAAGTTTATTTTCAAAAAGTATTAATTAAAATTAAAAAAACAGCAACATTTAATTGTTGGTCTATTATGTAGTTTTATTGGGAAAAAAACACATAGTTGCATGCATGATATACACAGTGTATATTTAGACACAAAAAAAAAAATTTAATTTCTTTAATTATTTTTTTAATGGGGGTGTGTTATAAACTGTTTTTTTTTAAAATTGACACATTAATAAAAAAGTAAAAGAAAACAAAAAATAAAAATAAAATAAAATAAATAAAATAAAATAAAATAAAATAAATAAATAAATAAATAAAATAAAAAAAAATTTTATAAGGAAAAATTTTATTTATTTGTTTTTTTTTTTTTGTTTTTTATTTTTTTATTATTTGTTTTTATTCATTTTTTATTTCATTAATTAGTTGTACCATTTAAAATAAAGTTAAAATGTATTCATTAGGTGAAGAAAATATTTTAAAAAATTATATTAATAAAACCAATAGTATTACAATTGTTAAAAAAGAAAATCAAAAAGAAGAATATCAAAAAAGCAATAACAATAACAATAACAACAACAATAATAATAAAGAAAATGAAGGAATTTATGAAATTGTATCAACAAAAAATGAACAATTAAAATGTATTCCACATTATCCAAGACAAATGGAAAGTTACAATAAATTTAACGAAACTTATATATTTTTATTTTGTGGTGATGACCATAATAATATTAATACTCTATATGGTTTTAATATCAACAGTAAAAAAATAGAAAAGTTTAATTTTAAAAACAACTTACAAAAAGAGTTTGGGACATTTAGAGGTTCATTATTTTCTATTTCATCAACAAATGACTCTATATATATCCTAAATGGAAACAAATATTTAAGATATGATATAAACTCTCAAAATACCTTTTTAATATCAAATAAATCAATGATGGATAGCTCTATGTATAAGTCATCTTTCTTTGACGGTAAAGAAAATATCTATATTGTGGGTGGATTATTAAATGGTGCTCTTCAAGAAAACATCTATCAGTGGAATATTAGAACTAACGAGTTTATTAAATATGCTAAAACCAATGGACCAGTATTAGAAAGCCAGCTCTGTTATTCACCAAAAGAAGATTGTTTATATATGCTAGGGGGTTGGATATCGGAACATGACTATAATCAAACTATTGATGTATTTAATATCAAAGAGCGTACTGTAACAACAATATATAAATTTAATAATAAAGAAACTTTATTTTCTCACAGTTGCTATGTTCCAAATAACCACTCGTTGTATATTTATAAATGGAAAATTAATCAATTCTATAGATTTGACATCAAGACCAAGACCATATATCCTCTCCCTGGATGCATTAAAAAAACAAATTTTTCAAGATTGCTATTTGATTACAAAGATTCAATTTATTTACCAAGCAACTCGTCAATATATGAATACAAGTGTTCACTAAACAAATGGTTTGAACACGATTTAAATATTGAACATAAATATCTATATACATGTCATAGAATTTAAGCAACCTAAATATTAATTGGTTTGGTGTATAATAAAAAAGAAGGTAATCACAAAATTTATTGTATTAAAAAAATTTAATTATTATTTTAAATAAATAAATAAATAAAAGGTAAATTAAAAAATAAAATAAAACAAAACTTTTCTTTTTTTTCTATTTTTTCTTTTTTTTTAATATAAAAAAAAGAAAACAAAATACAATAAAATATATTGTTTATTGTTTAACATTCTGGTATACCTATAATAGGTTCAAATAAATCATTTTGAATACTAAAGTCAAAAAATGGGTGTGACAGGGCATCTTTGGCGGAAATTCTTTTGGTTGGTTGATACTCTAAAAGTTTACAAGAAAGGTCAAAAAATGATTTGTGACATGGATGAAAATAATCTTTTAATCTTTTTAAATTCTCTACTCTTTCTAATGATTTTAATTCATCTTCTGATTGAGGCTTTGAAAGTTTACCATCACTTTCAAAATATTTCCTAAAAAAATAAAAAAAAAAATTAATAAAATTATAATGATAAAACTATTTAATATATAATATCTTACTTTGAAATATTTGACATAGAGTGTGGAAATGGACCCATAACCTTTTCCATCATGGCCAGGTGTTGTCTATTATTATGAGTATCAAACAAAGTGAAACCTAAATATAACTCTACTAAAATGCAACCGACACCCCAAATATCGCATGGATATGACCAACCCATTCCAAGAATAATTTCAGGTGGTCTATAAGGTCTACTACAAACTATAGTGGTATGGTGTTTGTTCTCGAATGTTGCGCCACCGAAATCTATTACGACTATATCAGTTTGGTTTAAATGATAGTATTGATTTAGATCAAATTGTAAGGATTCCATTTGCAATTGGATTGGTACTTTCTTTTCTTGATGTATGCCATAGTTTGTCTTTTCCAATAAAATATTCTCTGGTTTCAAATCTGTATGTACTAATGATAATTTGTGCATTGCTTTTTTTTTTTTTAAGAAAATTAAATTTACAATTAGTATACCAAATTAAATATTGTTAATAATACTAAACTTACAATATATTGCAGTTAAAAGTTGTCTACCGATCTTTTGAATTTGTGATAGTGGAAGTGGCCTATATTTATTTTTTTTTAAAAAATCATACAAACTTAACCCATATTTCCTGAATACCAAGCACATGTGGTCTCTGTATTTGAACCAATCTAATAATTTTATACAATGACTAAATAAAAATGTTAATTTAATAAAATTTAGATATATAATTTTTGAAATACCACTACTTACTATTTATCATTTGTCACACCACTTTTCGAGAAGAGTTTATATTTCGATTTCTATAATGCATCATCGG